GGCCCAGGGCGGGGACCCTGTGTTTGCCCAGAAGCCATGTGGGGGTGGGGGAGCCCCAGCTACTCCCCACGCCCCTGCCAGCCTTCTGTGCAATCACAGGCTCCTAGCGCCGATCGTGGCCCCGCCTTCCAGCCGCTCCCCTCACCCACGCCAGGCTTCCCTCCGGTGCGCCGCAACCCTATGCGCAGGGCCGTAGAGCTCCCCTGCGGAACCCAGTAAGCACTAGGGTTGCCAGGCTGTCTCCATATTGAGTCGGACAGCCCAGGATTTTCGCCTCCTGGCCGGGAAAAAAAAATCAGAAGATACCGGACATTTTAGGTGTCCGGTATTTGTTTATTTTTTATTTTTTTACCAGACAAGAGACAAAAATTCCAAACTGCCTGGTTCAGTACTGGACACCTGGCAACCCTATTCTCAGGCAAACTGAGTTCCTGACTCCCTAAAAGAGCCAGCTACACTGTGACATTAAGAGAGTAGTGAGTTCTATAATACAGAATTCCACACTAATGTAAACTAGTACTGCACCTTTTTATACAAGAAGAAAAAAATGCTAGAAAATGTATCAACATAAAAAAGATATTTTTTTAAGTTGCTTTGTCCATCTTGGTTTTCTCTTACGTGGTAGAGAGTGTACAGATTTTTATCTTTTTATCCTATTCTATTTTTATCAATGGCTTGGAAGAAAATAGAAAACAATCACTGAAAGTTTGCAGATGACATATAGATTGGGAGAGTAGTAATTAGTGAAGAGAACAAGTCATTGATACACAGCCAGCTGGATTACTTGGTAAACTGAACACAAGCCAAAAAAATTCATTTCAGTATGGCTGAATGTAACCAAGAATGTAGGCCATATTTACAAGATGGAGGGCTTTATCCTGGGAACTAGTGTTTGTCAGGCAACCAGGACAATGATGCAGTGCAGCATTCTCTTACTTGTAGAAAACAGAATTTTTTCTCCTTTTTAAAGTGCAAGTATTGCTAATTTATAATTGAACTGAATATTATGACTAACACTGAGGTATATTTCATTTTCACAGAGACCAAGGTCTTGATGATCTCATTGAAGTAAAAACTGCAGAACAAAATAAAAATCGGTGAGACTGAACTCATAGCTTTGTTTTACATTCACTGAAAATTAAAATGTTTTGCAGTGGGGCAGCATTTTACTGTGTAGTACTATGCATGAGAATGTTTCTTATCAATGTAACCATGTAAAAATTGCAGATCTTTAGAAAGACATATGAATGTATATATTCACCTAACGTAATTAAGCATGCACCTGTAATTATTTATTTATTTAAAAATTCATATCTGAACTTATTACTTCTCTTATCCCTGGTCTACATAGGGCTTTATTTCGAAATAACCCCCCTTAGGTCAAATTTATAAGCGGAGTGTCCACACTTATTTTGAAATAGCATTAATGTGGACACTCTGGTGCCACTATTTCGAAATAACTACTCCCCAGAGTAATTCAAACTAGTTATCCTCAGTGCTTTCTGGTGCTCTAAGTTGAGGTAGTGCATCCACATTAACGAAGCCTGCCTCAGGCTAATTCTGAGGCTTCCCCAAAGTGAGGACACGCTATTTTGACTTTGTAAAATTGGGAGTTAAGTCGAGTTTAGTTATTTCAAAATAGGTTCCTAGTGTAGACATGACCTAATGTCCTGGAGTCACAAAGTCATATAACCAAGATAATTAAACTATTTGATAGTTCAGTGCATACATCCATGCTTGTAAGGTTCCTGATCACTTGAGCTATTGAAGTCTTGATTCATTTAACGAAATGTACTGTAATTTAGCAGTCAATCTTTCAAGGAAAACCTTATTCGTGGTTCTTTTGTCTTCATTTAGTGGGAGTCCTTCGTTACGCTTTATGCCTAAATGGAAACCCCCACACACCATCTAAGTATTTAAGAAGGGTTAGCCATTTCAGTAAATGAATAATTTCTATCCTTTTCTTAATAGAAAGGGGTTCACATCACAAAAATCCCCATCAGGAGAGGACCCTGGCTAGCAGTCTCCTCAGAGAGGCAAAGGCTGCAAGTTTAGAGAACACAAAATTTTCTCTCAGTTTTCTTAAAGTAGCCCTGCCACTTCAAAGTTGAGGCACAATGGAGAGTACTGGTTCATGCTACATGTTGCGCATGTAAAACACTGATATTGAGGAAGATTCATTTAGCAGAGAAATCCAAACCTTGGCAATTGCACTGCAACGAATCCAACTGCCAGCAAAATAACCAGTGTTCGGGCTCATTGTTATCACTTTCTCCCTGAACGTAACTTTTGGCAGAATTATTGCTTTTGACATACAGTTAGTGGCCATTTGTTTGAGCTTCACTGTAAAAGAAAAATCCTGAATATTGTTAGAATTTATATTCAGTTCATTAGGTTGATGAGTTTATGCTCTGTAGAGCGTCATGTTTATAGCCATGAAAAATGGAAGAAACTGTGATACTTATTTAGAAATCCTGGTGCTGCTTGGTATATCTATCTAGCTAGTCCTTTCTAGTGAACCCATCACTATTACACCAATTACATCATGTTCTTTAGACTATTTTCCACGTGGCCTTTTCTGAACTAGAAAAAAAAACTTTACTTTAAAAAGTGAGTCCTTATATTTTGCTTTCAACTCTTCATGTCTGTTCTGAGCTGGTATTTTAAAGTTGCCATTTAAAATGTAGAACTTACCCAAAAATAGATTGCCAACATTGCAGAAATATAGCCAACATAAAAACCTTAACATCAACACTGCAACTTGACATAGAAATGAGAGCTATTAATGGGAGCCTTACAGAGTTTGGCTTTCACTTAATAAGAAAAAAAATGTTTAAAAGTCTGGATGTGTATCCAAGTCTACAGAGGCTCCCTGCCTTGTTTCCACCACATAATCCCTCTTGCCACAGCAGGTCCTGTGATAAATCCTTCTTTTTCAGTATCTCTATACCAAACTAGCTGGGGTTGTTACCTTGGCATGAGGTTCTGTGGCCTTATGGTGTCTTAAGTGCTCTCTTTTTCAGATTCTGTGTATCCTGCTTGCTGCAAGCACAGCCTCTTTATCTCCCCCTCCCACTCCAGGTCTTGTTCCCCTAACCCTGCTAAATTCACACCCCCTTTTTTTTTAAACAAAGGAAGAGAAAGATAATGTCTTTTGTTCATGGTCTAATGGTAGTAACACTGGTTATATGGTACCTTCAAGGGTATCTGAAGGTGCTCGGAGCATGATTTAAAAATATAGTTGGTGTCATAAATCTTTGTCTTGTCATTTGTTTTTTAGGACAACTGAACAACCTCATGATTCCACTAAAGCTCCAAATAAACCAGCTAACACAAATTCCTCTTATGACAACAGAAGAGCCAGGTACTGTAGTCAACAAAATTACCAAGTTTAATTAAACAATGCCTCAAGCACTCTTCCTTATACAAAAACCAGGCAGAGAAGTTTTATGAATGAAAGTTCCATGGAGAATGGTCTGGAATCCTCCCTCCAGCCTGGGGAATGACAAGGGAAACAAAGGATGAATTTACTGATTGTTCCTTTAAGCTCTCTGCCCCACCCAGAAACTTTCCATGCTGCCATAGATGGAACCTTCAGGTCGCACAACTCCAAGGCACATAGTAGGAAGAGATGCCTTGTGTCATTTCTCACTTTTCATAGCAGAACTCGATTGGGTTTTCTGTCTCTCCGGTGAGGGACATACTGAAGCAAATAGATTTTTAAAAGGTTCTTCCCTTTCAGTGCTGAAGTCTCTTCCTTTATCTAGAATTTGTAACTACAGACACTTATACTGTAAATTTCTTTGAAAACTCACCACATTTATAGACTGGATACTTGGAGAAAGTATCAACTTCCCACTTATTGAAGGGTAGTGAGAAAGCAAGTGAAACAAATAATATGCTTTTTCCACACCAAGTCATAACAGGGTTATCAGAAGATTAAGTCTTTGATGACAAATAAACAATGTGTCATTCTGCCTGAATGAAAGAACACTCTTGAGGAGGAGAATGGAAGAATTCTGCTACTGACCTTGATCAGTAGCAATGCAAGATACTACTCAGTAATGAGGAATGGGAGGTGCATTATTTCAGCTGGGGCCAAGGCTCCACCCACGTCTGTCCTCTCCATACTCTTCCTGCCTCTTGCTTGGAAGTGGGGAGGGGAAGGAAGAACCAGGTGTACAGTCCCTCCTCTTCCTATTTCTGCAACGGGATACTGGGCGTTCTTGCTTATGGTTACACTTGTGCATTACCACATAAGCTCAGATGACAATTTGGCCAAAAGTGAAAGAAAACATAACTTCAGGACTCAGAATAAATATTCAACACACATGTTGATCAGCATTTCGCAGGTGGTGTATAATTGTTGTTATGGCTTTTGTAGCTTTGTGACTAATTTTGAAAAGTGTCATGGATAATAATAAAACAATAACAGCAGATAAAGAATCATGAGCTTTCGTGGGCAAAATCCAATTCTTCAGATGAGCTGGATGCTGAAAAATATTCCATTCCAGCTCATCTGAAGAAGTGGGTTTTGCTCACGAAAACTCATGATACAAAACATGTATATATATTTGTTAGTCTCTAAGGTGCCACGGGACTACTTGTTTTTAAAGTTACAGACAAACATGGCTACTCCTCTGAGACATTTTAACAGGTAAAGAGTGTGATACAGTATGTAGTGTTTCCTTTTAACTTGGCAGGATGTGTACCCTTTACTGCACTGTGAATAGAAAACCACATTTAAGTCATTAAAATATTTAAACAAAGTGAAATGCCCTCGTGTTGTTCTGTCCATTTTCCCATAGTTAATTCTTTCGAAGAGTGCTAATTATGTTGCTATAGGTACTGCAGAACCAGATTGCAACGTGGCAAATTAAGGAACGTGCAGCAGGATTGACAAAAAAAATTCTAAATGTAGAATTTCCAGGAGGGGAGAGGGATTGGATTTCATCCCAATGTTAATTCCTTTTGTACTGCTCTATTATGTGTAGTGAATAGGTTCCTGCTATTGTATGAAACAATATGACTGAGTTGCTGACTGAGGCCCTGGCTTCTGTGAAACTTTGTGAGGGCAAGATTAGACCCTAAAATAACCAGTGAAATTCAGGACTAGGAATTAGCTTTACTATTATTTACAGCCTCTTGTAATTGTTTTGTATATAGTATAATTACTTTTTTAAAGATGCAGTAATACATGTTTGTTTCTCTTTCAGCAATAATACTTCAACCAGTTCCTCAAGTTCAAAGGACACTGTTGTGTACACAAAGACATATAAGGAGAATAGGTACTGGAAAGATACCTCCAAGTGTTTTTCTGTACCAAGTTATACACAAATGATGTTATTTGTGGCTAAAGAGGCTAAAGAGGCTAAAGAGACTGGGACTTTTCAGCTTAGAAAAGAGGAGACTGAGGGGGGATATGATAGAGGTCTATAAAAGCATGAGTGATGTGGAGAGGGTGCATAAAGAAAATTTCTTCATTAGTTCCCATAATAGAAGGACTACAGGACACCAAATGAAATGAATGGGTAGCAGGCTTCAAACTAATAACAGAAAGTTCTTCTTCACAAAGCAAATAGTCAACCTGTGGAACTCCTTGCTGCAGGAGGCTGTGAAGGCTAGAACTAGAACAGAGTTTAAAGAAAAGTTAAATCAATTCATGGAGGTTGGGTCCATGGAGTGCTATTAGCCAGGGGGTAGAAATGGTGTCCCTG